GTGTTCTGGTATGGGCCTCTTTGGATTTGTCTTGTTTGGGATTCTCTGTGCTTCCTGGACTAGTCTGTTTTTTGCCTTCACCTAGTTAGGGAGGTTTTCAGTCATTATTTCTTCAACTAGGTTCTCAATTCTTTGCTCTGGTACCTCTATGATGCAGATGTTGTTATGCTTCATGTTGTCCCAAAGGTCTCTTAAACTATCTACATTTTTAAAAATTCTCTTTTCTTTTTGCTGCTCTGATTGGATGCTTTTTGCTACTTTGTCTTCTAAATCACTGATTCGATCCTCTGCTTCATCCAACCTACTATTTATTCCTTCTAGTGTATTTTTTATTTCAGATATTGTATTCATTTCTGACTGGATTTTTTAATGATTTTTCTGTCCCTTTTCACGTTGTTGTACTTCTTACTAAGTTCCTTGAGCATCCCTATAAACATTTTTAAAAACTCTGTATCTTATAAATTACCTCCATTTCATTTATCTCTTTTTTTTCCCCCTGGAGATTTCTCCTGTTCTTTCATTTAGGGCCCTTTTCTCCCCATTTTGGCTGCTTATTTGTATTTTTTTCTATGTATTAGGCATATCTCTTATGTCTCCAAATCTTGGTATCCTGGCCTTATGTAGTAGGTGTCCTGTGGGATCCAGTGGCACAGTCTCCTTAATCAACTGAGCTGGGTGTTCCAGGAATGTCCTTTGTGTGGGCTATGTGAGCCCTCCTGTTGTAATTAAGTCATGAGTTTGCTATTGGCCCATTTTGTGTGGGTTTGACTCTCAGGCTGTTTGACTGTGAGGCTCAGTGTACTAGCTGCTGTGTAGGTGCTGACCACACTAAGTAGAATTTGCTTCAGCAGGGTCTGGTGCCTGCAGAGATCTCACTTAAGCCACTTGTAAAGCTATCTAGATTCTGCTCTGATGTTGTCTGAAGTTGGCCATTGGGTGTGTTGGTTCTGGGGCCTCTTGGGAGGGACTGGTGCAGGTCAATATCAAACACTGCCTATGACTGATCGTGGGAAACTTGTTTGGAGCTACATGGGGATCCAGTTTCTGGATGCCTCTGCTATACCTGGGTATGTGTGCAAAGGACCAAGCTGTACACCAAGGCTGGCTTGCACCAGCACCGAGTCCAGTGTTCAGTCAGCAAAAGGCCCAAGGCACCCTGATATCCACCTTTGCCTGTCTCCACCTGCTGGCAGCCTGTCAGGCTCAGTCACTGAAGGAGCCTCTGATGGTACTTGAGTTTAATAGGTAGCTTCTCAGTGAGTCACCAGGTATGAATAGTGTTCACTAGATGGGTAACACATTCAATCATAGAGCCAGTGCTGGGTCTGAGGCCACTCAGCAAAAGTCCTAGGGTATACCAAGTCTAGCTGCCACCTGCTGGGTAACTACAGACCTTTCTGGTGAAGCAGGGTCTTAGAAAATTTTCAGGGTGAGGCCAGCAGGGGTTATGAGGCCCAAACTGACCACGGTTTGGCCATGTGAAGGGAGGGCCCTGCACTGGTCAGGCATAAGAAAGAAAAATGGACCCTGTCCTAGAGCCACACAACTCAGTATGTCCCAGATTCTGCCAGGAGCTGAGCAGGGTAGGGCTTCTGAGAGATGGGAAGGTGGGACTAGTGGATCTCCCATGTGAGGAAGTGCTGGTCAGGCTTGGGGGAAGGAGGGAGGAGTGGCCCCACTCCAGGGCCACACAACTCAGTCACTGATACCCTGAGTCTGCCTGGATATCTATACTCTTGTCAAGGCATTTGAGTCCTCAGCAGGGTGTGAGCTCCACCGGATGGGAGACAGGGATTCCGGAGGGTGGGGCTATTGCGTTTACCCAGGTTCATGTCCTAAGGAGGGGAGTGCTCTGCCAAAAGAAAGATGGCATCTAGGGTGTGGGAGAGGGACTCAGCACAGGGATCATGACAGCTGTCTCTTTAGCTCTCTCCCCAGAGCCACAAAGCCCAGTCTCTCCTCACACTACTCAAGTCCACTCTGCTGGAGCCCAGGGTGAGTTGCTGTGAACAGGATTTCATGTGCTGGCCCTTTAAGGGGGCACCTGTGTCTCTAGCAGACTTCTGTCTCTCCCTGGTGGACAGAATCCCTGATTTTTATAGCCCAGTGTTATGAGAGTGCCCGTTCCAGCTCTGATGCTCTGGTCTGCGGAGCCTGGTGTGGGGTTGAGACCCCACGCTCCTCAGAAGGAACCTCTGCAGCTGAGATATCCCTCTGGGATCTCAGATGCCACCCATGGGAATGGGCCAGCCCTTTTCGTCTCCACTCTTCCTGCCAGTCTCGATGTGGCTACTGTAAATCCTTGGTTATAAGACTCCTCTTCAAGCTTGTCTCCAGCTGGTTATTCAGGATGATTGTTCTATAATTTAGATGTAACTCCAGTTTGGTCCTGGGAGGGGTAAATGTAGATTCCGCTTTATCCGTTGCCATCTTGGGTCCCATCCAAAGAAAATTTTTAAAAATAACTTTCATATTAACAATAGAACATCTTCTATGATGGAAGTCCTCTCTGCCTAATACTTAGATTTTCACAGTGCTTGCAGATAATTCTTTCTGAAAAGCTACCCGATGCTGCCTTGTTTTCCTGTAGCATTATATTCCTGTGATGCCTAGGACAAAATGATTTTTATAACCATCTAGCTACTTTCTGCTCTTTGATGATACAAATTCAAATGCTACAGATGGTTAAGAGTGACGCCAGTTCAAGTATTCCACGTATATGGTGACACATCCATTTTTACAAATTTTGATTTACAGCTGAGTGGCTGACAAGATGGAGGCAAAGTTCAACTATTCTGGGCCAATCTCCAGAAAAAAATGTTCATTCCTATGCTCAGATAAATGCCTGGTCTTACCTCCTTTTCATTGTGACAATATTTACTTGGACAGTAGTGTAAGTGTCCTGGGTGTGTAATTAGTGGCTTTTATAAACTGAAATAGTTAATCACATTTATTTCTTGGGACTCTGGCCATCTCTCCAAAAACATACCAAGTTACTTGCAGACTCTTTGAGAGAGCTGAAGTAGTATGTGGAATGGTCAGGGAGTCCTGGGTCCAAATCCCAGCAGACAATTATTAGTTGTGAGAGTGTAGGTAAACTAGTATCTTTAAGCTTCCATGTCCTTATGTATCTAGTAAAACTAATACTGCTAATGACATAGGACTTTTGTAAGAATTAACTGAGATAGTATTTGGAAAGCTCTTGAGATAATGAACTAGCTTGTTGTAAATTGCTCAAGAAACGATACTATTATTATATCATCTCTACAACATGCAGATTTGTAGTGTTTTCATGTGTATCTCTTTGCATAGTTTTCACAGTGGGTGCTGTGGATTTTACAATATACACATAAGGCATCACAATTTACTGATATCAACATTCTCCACTTTTGGCGAAGTGTGGAAGCCTTACTTCTATTTATGTCCCTTTACTTTCTCCACTTTTAAATAACATTGTCTCGAGTATCAGATAGTGGTATACTTTTTGTTTCAATCAACACGTATGATTTATACAACTCATGAGATAGTTTACTGCACATATCTTCTTCAGCTGTTCTTTGTCCTTTCACAATGCTCCAAGATTCCTTTTTATTTGCCATTTTCTTTCTGTTTGAGGGACTTCCTCTAGCTAATCTGCAATGTTGGGCTTTTCTTAGTCAGATAATATATTTATTTCCTCTTCATTCCTGAAAAATAGTTTCACTGAATCTAGAATTCATTGATAGGTTATTTTTCCCTTTCAGCACTTAAAAAAAATGTTGTGCCACTCTCTTTTGGCTTCCACGGTTTCAGATGCGAAGTCAGCTGTCATTTGAATTGGTGTTCCCCTACAGTAACATGTCATTTCTCTCTGGTTGCCTTCAAGATTTCTTTTTCTTTGCGTTTAGTTTTCAGAAATGTAGTATGATGTGTCTTCATATGCATTTCTTGGGGTTTATCCTATTTGGGTTTTTCTCAGCTTCTTGAGCCTGTACGTTTATATCTTTTGCCAAAATTGGCAAGTTTCAGCTATTACTTCTTCAAATACTTTTCAGTCTTGCTGTCTTCCTTTCCTTCTGGGCCTCCAATGATACATATGTGGATCTTCTGTCATTGTGTTTGAGGCTCTATGAATTTTTTTCCAGTCTATTTTCTCTCTGTTACTTAGATTGGGTAAATGCTATTTTCTGTTCATTGACTCTATCCTCTGTCATCGCCAATATATTACTGAGCCCATTCAGTGAGATTTTTATTTCTGTTAGTTTTGGGAAGAATTATTTTATGTAATGGGTTTTAGAAATTATCCAAAGAAGTTGAACTTGCTAAAAACATAAATCATATGACAAAGGTTCTCAGTAGAGTTAACGGCTGAAATGCCCTTATTGGTTCATTAATGAGATGATAAGGATGTGCCTTTCCAGGTCTCCATCATGGAAAAGAAATGTCTCCCACCCACCCCTTCAGGTGCCCCCATCAGAAACCCTGTTCTGCTCACATGCCATGCCTTAACCCAGGTTGGGGAATGATGTGCACATCTAAGTCTTACACTAGGACAATGCCAGGACCTCTGAGATATTAAATCATAGGATACATTTCCTTCCCTAAAATCCCCTGAATCTGCTTTCCTTCCACTAAATACTTCTGAATCATTATTGATGGAGTTAGAATTGAGATTACGCCAACATGAATCAGATTAAAAAAAAAGCAGCATAGAAGTGAAGTGAGTTAAAAATTTGCTACTTCCTTGCTGGGTGAAGTGGGCATTCATATCTCACCCAGACTCAGCTTCCTTCCTACAGAATTAAGGGATTATAGGAGCTGCCCTGCCTCATCATAATGAGGGCAAAGGAAGCAGGGGATGCTGAAAGTGTCATGCAAAATCTTACATCCTTACTTTCGGAGATGAACAAGGTTCTTAGTAGCTGGTACTACAGGTTGACATCTTTTCTCTGTATTCAGAGTGCTTACACCATTCCTCACTCCCCAACCCCACCCGCCCAGCGAGAAAACATAGCACTTACCTGATGAGTTCCACTGTTTCTGAATACATCGTGTATGGAGATTTGGATTCCATCGGGCCCTGTTCCATTGCATTTCCACACTCAATGAATGACAAGGCTGCTTCGGCGTAGTTCAAAGCCTTTCCAAACTTTTCCACCTGTTCAACAGAGTTAACACAGTGTTTTCCCTAAGTACAGATTTTAAACATTATTGTCACACAGTCTAGACCAGCCGTGGGCAAACTACGGCCTGCGGGCCGGATCCAGCCCGTTTGAAATGAATAAAACTAAAAAAAAAAAACAAAAAAAACCGTACCCTTTTATGTAATGATGTTTACTTTGAGTTTATATTAGTTCACACAAACACTCCATCCATGCTTTTGTTCCGGCCCTCCGGTCCAGATTAAGAACCCATTGTGGCCCTCGAGTCAAAAAGTTTGCCCACCCCTGGTCTAGACACTTCATTTGAGAAATCCAACTTTTGAATTCTAAAATCCTGTGAATGGAACTGAGAGGGAAAAGAAATGGGGCACTTCCTCCTCTAGTTATCTTCATAAATTGCCACTATTTTAGGGAAAATGAGTGAATGGTTACAGACAGAATTGTACCAAATCTATGTAACAACTGCCAATTAGAACTGCTCAGAACTTCATGGTTGCTCCTCTTTCAACCCCCAGGGACGTGGCAGCTTCATTCCTGTTCCTCCACGCTCTGCTAAATACACAGCGAAGTCGGTAGGTATGATTCCATATAAGAATTTTCATACTCTTTTTTGTATACTTCAACTTTGATGATTTACAGCATAAACCTGTACTTTTGTATTTTACATTATCTGACATTTCCTTTTCCATGCCTTCCTCCTATTGTGTGTGTATGTGTGTGTGTGTGTGTGTGTAGTTATGTCTTTCATAGTCAGAACCCCAGTCAGGGATGAGAGTGAGGGGAGGAGATAAAACTCAAGGCAATTTTTCAGCTTAGCTAAAAGGGGATACAGAGTTGATATTTAGTAAAGAACATTTTTTGGATTATATGAGGTTGTCTAAATTGATGTTAATCTTTCCCCACAATAGCAAGAATGAGCTTTATATTCTTAGGTTCTATTAAATATAAATTTACACATCAAGTTCCTGGTTCCATACTTTGCTACTCTCTGCAGATAATTACATATTTTAAGTTTGAATCGCATAATCTCTCCAGTATTCACTCGTGAATCAAAACAGAATTACACAAATACTCTAATTACTAATACGTCTTGCCTCTAAAAAAAATTCTCATTGATAATGACGCCTTAGAAAACAGAATGTAGAGCAAAATACTCCCTCATTAGCAAATCAAATTTTAAACAGCTGATAACCCTAATAGGCTATCCAGTAAGATTTCTTGGCAACGCTTTCAGATTAAAGAAGCCACTTCATTCAGTAAGGATTTCCTGAAGCACCCAATTCTGTCCTATGTGTACTCGATACACACAAGTTCCTCCCAAGAACATATAATACAATTAGAGAGAAAAAATGTGCGCCCACAGGACAGTTCACAGTGCAAAGCAGCCTGTGAGTGACCTGGAATGCAGAGCCAGGCGTCCAAGGCACATGAGATGGCAGGAAGGGAGCAGGTGGTGGGGCTTCTGAGGCGGGAGGCCTTGGGGAGGAGACAGTGGGAAGGAAAGGATTTGGGGAGCATGCTGAGAGTGAGTGTGGCGAGAGTGAGAGTGTGTAAGTATGTGCGCGCTGTGAGTGTGCGAGTGTGAGGTTCTACAAGTGCACACGCCCGCTGGCTGGCGTGAGCAAGGTCTGCTTAGAGACCGGTGGGAACACAGGCCTGCTGGCTGGCGTGAGCAAGGTCTGCTTAGAGACCGGTGGGAACACAGGCCTGCTGGCGGAAGCTGTGTCGGGATGGACAAGGTGACACTGAGTGAAGAATCCTAGTAACCCTGGTGATTCAGGCAGAACTTTTCATTCTGCTTTTAAGTTCGCTGCTCTTCTCCAACAGTGACCTGGCCTCAGCCCCTCAGGCGACCAGAACCCTTCATCAGCCTGTGGGAGTGTGAGGGCAAGAACTGCACCTTCTCTACTTTCTGACACTCTGGTTATGTCCCTTGCACTGATGAACCTAGCAGTGATCCTCAGACAAGTAAATATTGAGGGGCAACATCGGTAGCTTTGGGAGCGGAGTGCTGTTATGGTTTGGGCACCTGCAACACTGGAACAATACGACAAAGGCCATTTGAAATGCCTTCTCCATCTCCAGCTCCCCAGCCTCAGTTATACGTGCTGGTGGGGAGTGGAGCTGGCATTCCCTGAGGAAAGAGTCCCTTTGGACGAGGCCTCAAGATGCGGTAACCATATGATGGCTTTTAGAAAAAACACACATGTACGTTTAAAAAAAAAAATCTAATGTCTAAACAGCTTCAAGCTTTCCAAAACAGGAGATTATCCAAGTAAGAAACATTATTTTTTTAATAAACATCAAGTCATGGTGACGCTAGAGCAGTGGTTCTCAACCTTCCTAATGCTCCTCATGTTGTGGTGACCCCCAACCATAAAATTATTTTCGTTGCTACTTCATAACTGTAATTTTGCTACTGTTATGAATCATAATGTAAATATCTGATATGCTATATGTGTTTTCCGATGGTCACGACCCACAGGTTGAGAACTGTTGCTCTAGAGAATGACCGTATATTTTTTCAAAATGCTGACACGTCGAGCTCAAAAGGTTCACCATCACTGCTCTAGAGGCTTATGTGCGTTATAACAGTTTCTGCTGTACAGTTTCAGAGACGTATTCATTTTGGCAGATACCCATGAAGAGCACAAGTCTTTTTGAAAAGGGATTAGATCCTGCGACCACGCCAAGGGCTGGCCAGGCTAATATGACAGAAAAGTGCAAACTTAAGATTTTATTTTTAAAGAAAAAAAAATGCTACCCACTCTCTCCATTACCTCTAGTTACTATTCAAAACTTAGGATTAAAATAAAATATTCATTTCTCCAGGGCTTTCTCCCTGTCAGGCATTATTGGTTGAAGTCATACTTTTATTGGGTGATGAGTGCTTGATTATATAAACATTTCTCCATTTAACAGACTCAGCCATCCTTGTAATAGATTTTATAATTACCCCAGCTACACTGCTCCAGCGATGAAGGTGCGGTACAAACATCATTTGGAAAAACATATCTGGAGAGAAAAGGAACTTACCATTGCATCTGCCTTATGCTTCATCCGCTTAGCTTCTTGCATAAAATAATCTGCACTGCGTGGCCTACAAGGAGAGGATGATGCCAAATGTTACTACTGTGGAAGAGTAAGGTCTCCTGAAAATATTCCTTCCTTTTGCTCAAACTTAAACCACAATTTCAAAACTCTGCTTAATAGGGAAGCAGGTACTTTTCACATTTCCAAATCACTGCCCGTAGGTAAAGTACCACGATTATATTTCGCTTAAGTTAGCAATTCAAAACACAGTCTATGCCGATCATCTGCATTTGCAGTGATTTTCACATGGCTCCCCAGTGCCTGATTTGAACCAGATTTTTTATTGCATGGCTAAGAAAACAAGTAAAAAACTTACTTTGTGATATTTACACTAAACAATGGCTTTTTAATGTAAAGATTGCAAAATATACCTCATAATAATTGCATGGGTGAGCATATATATGTATCCTTATGAAAATCTGTGTCATTTACAGGTGTAAAAGGTAGAGTTACATGTACCCATAAGTAATTATTTTAAAGCGTGGCAGTGGGAAATGAAAAGAGGCAATGCCGTGTGATTCCATTCCAGGCAGAAGGAAATTAACTGTAAAACCATGTCTACCTTGTAACACCGCAGTCGTGGCCTGGTTCTCTACAGCTCTGATTAGCTGGCTGGTCAATAGGAGCAGTAGCCGTGCATTATTAAAGCAACACCCTGGCCAGCACTGCTTCTGCCGGGACATGATCCGAGTGTGCGTGTAACTTCAAGTTACACTGAGGTACTCATCACACTGCACCTTTAAATGCTTAGTCTGATAGTTTTTACACATCTGCATACTTTAGGTGATATCAGCCTAAACTTTTTTTGTGGTATTATAGGTCTTCATGTAGTCAATAAACTTGACTTACTCATGGATACCCAATATAAGCCAGGACGCCCTGAAAGCGGTAAGATGTAGGTAGTGATATGAACCATGGACTGTTTAACCTACTGTTACATGCTTATTCTGAACTGTCTTTTTCAGATTCTAATGGGTCTCTTTTCTCACTGCAATATTAGGTGGTCAAATATTAGGTGACATTTTATCTGAAAAGGTCAAAATGCTTAGAAAAACCATGAATATCATATTGCCGATACCACTGCAATCCAAAACGATTATGCTCATTTTAATGGTTTTAATCAATCAAAGAAACAAACTGGTCATAGGTCACAAACCATTGAAGCATAAAATATTGTCAGGACTGTGGTACCACGCTAGAAATACTCAACTTCAACAAAGAAATGAGGAACACAGTTGCAGGGTTTCCTTGATGCATTAATAAAACTTCCGTTTTGGCTCATCTTCCCTTTGCCATTCCTCCTGTCACTCAGGCCTGCAAACTCCCATTCACCTTGGCGGGTCTCCATTGGCCTGCAGGTTCCTTCATTGAGGGCCCTGGTCCTACGGACTCTGGTTCTCCAGTTCCCTTCCTAGATGTCCATACTTCTTCCGTTTGAATGGCGTTAGTGGCCTTTACATGGTTGTTTTCCAAAGTTCTCTGTCCCCATATTGACCTCTGAACACATGTTGGCTGTTTGTTAGGTCTTTTGATTCCAACTCTGGCGATTTACATGATTTTTGTTGTTGGTTTTTAATGAACTGACTTTATTTTTTTAGAGCGAGTTTAGGTTGACAGGAAGGAGAAAGCACAAAGGGTTCCCATGCACCTCCTGCCTCACACACCCACTGTCAGCATCCCTCCACTATCAGCATCCTCCACAGGAGTGGTACATTCGTTACAATCAATGAACCGGCATCATTATCACCCAAAGCCCATAGTGCACTCTAGTGTTCACTCTTGATGTTGTATATTCTATGGGTTTTGACAAATGTTTAATGACATTGATCCACCATTCTCGTATCCTACAGAGCAGTTTCACTGACCAAAAAAATCCTCTGCTTTCTTGTTTGGTTTTCCCTTTGTTTCATGTGGTGAAGACGAAGACCAAACTCCACTGCTAGCCCAAACCCAGGTCAGGCTCCTGAGCTTCAGATGTGGTCCCAGAGCCCACTTGTTCAGAAGAGGAGTCCAAGTATTTCCATCAACTTCTCCCCTGTTATGAAATGCCATGGATGCTTTCTTGTAAATAAATTCCCCTTTCTTTTCTCAAGGAAACATCCACCACAGAAATCTAGGCGCCCGCACCTCCCTTGGGTTACAGTTTCACTCCCCTCCAGTCTATCTTGGACTTTAGTCCTGATCAATGTTTGTACAGTATGGCTTTCCTTACCTCACCAGCCTGCCACAGACCTACAGCCATTCTCCAGTGCCCAGGACATCTCAGCTCAGGCCTCCAGTAATCTCACCCAGCTGTCACTCACTCACCAAGGCCTCCAACCACAAGGGTCTCCTCCTCACTGTCTTGTTACCATGTCGTCCCTGTCTTAGCAGCTCTGCTCCCACTTTTTCTCCTGTCTGGAATATTCCCCTCTCTGCTCCTTCACTGAGTCCTACTACGAGCCAACTATCACCCATCCCTCAGGTTTTACTGCCACGAGGCCTTCTTGGTTACTTTGGTCCATTCTCACGTCTTTCTTTCCTAATCTGAGGCATTACCTCTTGTTCACACTACACTTCTGGGCATTCAGTTATCTTCTGAGCTACCCTGGGCTACAGTCATTGCATTCACACAACTCGGCAGCTGGTACATTTCAGCAGGGACGACACTGTGGCCTCTTTGATCTTTCCCACCCTGCAGTTTTAGGCACATGGGAGAAGGAAAATGAATTCCCCTTGAATAGCACTGAATTCATTTTGAGCTTAGAAGAGAGTGGTGGCTTCTGATGGCAGCAACATAGCCAATGAGCCAGAGAACGTCTCCATGGCAACCTGAAATTCTCTACATCATTATCTGCTCTACACTCCAGTATATGAGTTTGGTCATTTTTTTTCTTCCCATTTGGTAGGTCCTGTTGCTAACAGATCATCATTTCAAATGCATTTCGTTTTCATGAAAGGATTCTCTTGATAATAAGCTAAGGCATCTCCGTGTTTACAAGCCTTCTCCATTACCCTTATGGATGGCAGTGCCTCCTAATTCCTATGATGGGGTCCTCCATCAATGCTGTTTTTATCCGCAGCATATGAATGTATTTTTAAACCTGATATGAAGGCTGAGTCACAAACCCTCATAATAGTGGACGCGGATAAGTAACACATCTAATGTTCTGACTGTATCCCTGCAGCAACACCAGTAACCTGAAATGCTGGAAATGCACCATCCAGAGGCCACTTACGAACACATTAGAATTCTCATCTTTGCATGCAGTGGAGGGCTCGTTACACTGATTCACTGAAGACGGCCTGAAGATTGGCCCATTTTTCTCCTTTTAGGTGATTTCTGGTGCCAGGCTCCTAGACCAGATCATTATAGAGGCAAAGGGACCGATGGGATGTCACTGAAATTGTTCAGCGGAGGATGCGTGCTGTCACCAGGCATCGCTCCACCTGCAATGCTCAAGTCAGTAGGAAAATGAAATTGTTGTTACTATTGTGGCGGTTACAGAACATGATATGGTAAAGGTACTAAGACGAAATCTAATTATCTCAGTGTTCAGACAGATTTATCATCTATTTTTTTAACACGGAAAACCTGAAGATTTTGTTTTTCGTTTAGATAATAACATTCTTCACATTGTTTGTCAGTGACGGTATTTTATGAGGATACAGGAGCAAGCCTTAAAAAAGTTCAATTAAACATCACCCATGTAATTGTGTAGCTTGGGCTGATCTTCAGAAATGGGCCTTGAGTGACCTAAAAAGGCAACACTTAGATGTTTGTCATAAGAGGTCTCAGCAGCAAAAATAATCTGAGCACTTGATCCGCAAGAATGCTGCGTTCTTTTTCTTTTCCTCTCCTCGCCCTCCCACCTACCAGCATGCCCCTGCCTTCTAAGCAGCGACTGGTCTGAGCTGCCCTAATATTTCTCTGGCCCTCGAGGATTACTGCAACCTTGTCCTTTTGTTCTCCTTCGTGGAGGAGACGGAGTTGAATGGGCTCCCAGCGAGAGGCTGGCAGACTGCTTCCTGTCATTCCTGCCTCTGGGAAGGCGCCCCAGCAGCGCCAGCCTGTTCTGTGAAACCTGGCAGGCAGGAGCGCACGGCTGTTTGAATAAACAGGTGCCTTGGCACAGCAGAAATCGGAGTAATTTTCTTGGGGAAGTTGAAATCCAAACCAGACAAATAGGCAACTGCATGCCAAGTGAATTCATCACCTGACATCCCGTCAGCTGCCATTCGATAAACCCCAGACGCGCCCAGTGTCCTGAGCGTTGGGGTACTGTCTTCACAAAGAAGAACGTGGAGGAAGTTGCTGGACGGGAGAGGGTGGGGGGATGGTGAAAAGGTGAAGGGATCAGAAGTACAAATTGGTAGTTACAGAATAGCCACAGGATATAAAGCACAGTATGGGGAATATAGTCAATATTACAATAACTATGTATGGTGCCAGGTGGGTACTGGAATTATTGGGGGGTCATTTTGTCAATCACATAAATGTCTAACTGCTGTGCTGTACGCCTGAAACTAACATTGAGTGTGTGCTGTAGTTGAAACAGGGCAGCTCAGGAATGGTTTAGATGCGCTGAGTGACGCCGCTGCTGAGGCCTTGCAGAGCCCCCCCCCTCCCCCCGCCCCCGTGCTGGAGCTGGCTTTGCAGGTGGCCTGCATCTAGGAAGCATGGATTCACCTGCAACTTGTGTTCTCTAACCCCGGCGTTGGCTGGGACCCGAGTCCCTGGGCCCCGGCTTCTCAGAAGCACCAGCTACCAGTCATTGTGCCTCCTTCAGGCCTTGGCTGTGCAGATGACTGCTTCCCTCGGCCACGGCCACACACAGAAAACAGCACGCGCTTTCCAGGATGCGGGCGGAGTGAAGCAGGGTTTGTTATTCCATCAAAAGCAATTTTCTAGTGAAATGGAAACTCATCAATTCGATTTTTGTTGTTCTCTGGATGTGACATCTTATATAATAAAAGCCTAATATGTTAAGTGTCCAGCTGTCCATTTAACCAATCAAAGCGTATGAT